GATGATCTTTGCCTTTACCACTGTTAACAGGCACCTCTAGGTGTGGTATGCGTCTACGGCTGCATGTATCGCGTGATAACATGGGCGAGTTTCCATTGAGAAGGGAAAGAATTAGTTTCTAAACAAAAGTTAAAGACATGAGTAAGGATAGCGACAATTTCAGGGAGTATGAGGCTAATCATTCGGGAGCTGAGGTCATCATTGTCAACAATAGTATAAGAAATGGAACGATGAATATGAAGTTTTTACCTCAGATTCGGTTACAGCCCGGAAGGAAAAAGAAGTTGTGCATGGTGGAGGAGCAGATTCAGCCAAAAGACGAAGGGTAACGCTTTTATGATGCTCATTCATAGTAACAGGGGATAAGGAAAAATGTTTAGTAAGCGCATTAAGGTCTGGAACGGACGGCTCACTACCAAAGGTAATGGAACGACCAATCCTAATAGACTTTAGAAATTCCCATATTTTAGTGGAATCTTGGTATCTCTGCACAAACGACTACAGCGATTACGAAGATATTTAAAGCGAACAAGGTTGTCATCTGTAGGAAGCCACTTCCAGCGTCGTTTCGCCTTGTCTCTAAGAGCCATGGCGTCCTTAATAACTTGTGGCCTTGTAGCAGGTGCATATCTAACTTTTACCCGTTTTAAAGGCGCATAACAATAAATAACGCACACACTCAACATAGCCCCGCACTAGGGAAACCCTGTGTCGCGGGTGCCATGGACACACACATAGACAACCACAAATTACACCCAAACTCACGAGAGAAATAAGTGTAAGCCATACAAACATTTCTCCCGGCCCGGGAATCGAACCTGGGACCTCTGCGTGGCAGTCCGGCATGGTAACCGTTCGGCCACGGAGGCAGTTACAATCATAAAAACTTATAATATTTTCATTGAGCAAGTCTACCTTGTGGTCAATGACTACGCAGTCCAACACATGAGTCCAGTCAATGTTACCCGCATCACGCTTGAGCGCCTCCAAATCAATAGCTTTAAAATTTCGGAGAATACGAAATTCTTTTCTTTCTAACCACTGCACGTGATGGAATTGTTGTATTTATTTGAAATATTTTTATTAAGTGCAATATAGTTTTCAAATTTATCCTATCTAGCAACACCTGCATCCAATTCATATGGTTGAATTAGATGCAGTGACACAGAACCGAGGGAAGTGGCAGAAATGCAAGAGGCCTACACCGATGTGGCTGAGAACGGCTAGAAAGAAGAAGACCAGCCCTACCCTGTCTTTATCTTTTTGTTTTTGTATTTGTTTTAGTATGCAACATTAGTATTTTGTATTATAAAAATATGTCTCATCTAAAGAATACTATTACCAGAGGAGGTTTATTAATTATAATAATAAATATAATTGCGTAATTGTGTGTAATTTGTGGTTGTCTATGTGTGTGTACATGGCACCCGCGATACAAGGTTTCCCTAGTGCGGGGCTATGAATAAGTATGCGCGTTATTATATTATTATATTTATTACAACTGCCTCCGTGGCCGAACGGTTACCATACCGGACTACCACGCAGAGGTCCCCGGGTTCGATTCCCGGGCCGGGAGAAATATTTGTATGGCCTACATTTATTTCTCTCGTGAGTTTGAGTGTAATTTGTGGTTGTCTATGTGTGTGTCCATGGCACCCGCGACACAGGGTTTCCCTAGTGCGGGGCTATGTTGAGTGTGTGCGTTATTATTATTATTATTATTATTATTATTATTATTATTATTATTATATTTATTTCTCATTACAAAATACCAAACAGTATAAATCTTACTAGGTACATTACACTATAATATGTTGTGAGAGCTGGTACTTGATCTATTTCACCTGTATATTTACTAAACATTACTAAGCAATAAGGAGTAGGTAGGAAGATACTTACTAAAATAAATTAAAATGAAAACTAGGACTAGATGGTACAGTCTCTTTGTGTGTGTATGCGGGTATGCATGCATGTGTTCGTGCGTGCACGTGTTCGCGCGTGCGTACGTGCGTGTTTGTGTGTGTGTGTGTGTGTAATGTATATGTGAATATATAAATAATAATAATCTCAACTAAAAAACAGGATTCAATTACAATTTAAGTAATAAGATGAAACATAGCCTCCATAACAAATGTTAAGTAGCTAGTATACAAGTATCTTCCTGCAATCATATTTCTTCACTTCATAGATTTTGAGCTTATCATGGAGCTTATTATAAAGAAAGTATCCAATGAAACGGCGCTGAACAAGGTTATCATTGTCCAAAATGTATCTATTTTATGTAACTGAAACTTTTTTTCGGATCAAAAACGCGTGTATTTTTTTTTAAATGAACCAACGATTCGGCATATGAAGAGTCCCATAGTCCCATGGGCATGTCAATCAGCCATGACTATGGGACCTGGGTTAATTTGAAAAATAAATATAGGTACGTTATTTAGTTGTACAGCAAGCAAGAAATTTAAACGCGTTTTGTAAGCAACGTCAAAGGTAAAAACCCAATCAAAATCGTGCTCGTGGTAATAAAAGCATTTAACTGGAATTTACCAGTCACTTCAAACCTAACAACAACGTCGCAAATTACTGAACTCCGAAGATCAGCGGCGAAAATAAACTCGACGTCACAGTACTGACACCGAAGTTCTTCAAAGTAAAATTCCTGGGTAGCAATTTAAAGTTTGCTCAAGCCGCCGAGTCACCTCGGGGCAGGAAACTTAGATCGATTCGTTTATCGATGGCTCACGAACGATTACTCTTGTATTGCTGTTTTATTAGCCCATCTATTGGGTGATGGTATTGCCTCGTGTTACAGCGAGTTTAATTCACGTATATCGCTAAAGTGTTTCAATTTGTTTTTATTACTTCAGGAAGTGTACTGTGTTGAGCATTTGCACACTTGGATAAGGGTGGTTTAAAAGGTAGGATTTGAATTTTTTATAAGGTGACACTGCTTGTATTACTGACAGTACTTTGTATTAGAATCTTTTTTTATGAGAATGAAATTATAACATTTTTAATTAAATTTTTATTGAATTGATATTCAATTATTTTCTAAAAAGTCGTTGAAAGACCAAGTACAAAGACACGATGCAAGCACATAGAAAAATTCGTGAGGTCCGTTGGTTCGTTCCGTGGCTTAGTTGGTATAGCGTCTGGCACGGTATGCAAGAAGACGTCGGTTCGAATCCGACCGGATCGAAGGAATTTTTTCTGAGTGTTTTTTCTGAGTGTTCGATCTTTGTATTAATAATTATAACATTTTTATTAAGAAAAGATATCTTAGAAGGGCTCAGTCGCAGAATGTCCAAATGTTTCAAAATATGCCAAGACGGTTACCCTGTCCAATTTTTTTTTAACACACACACTCGACATTGCCCCGCACTAGGGAACCCTGTGTCGCGGGTGCCATGGACACACACATAGACAACCACAAATTACACCCAAACCCACGAGATAAATAAATGTAGGCCATACAAATATTTCTCCTGGCCCGGGAATCGAACCTGGGACCTCTGCGTGGCAGTTCGGCACGGTAACCGTTCGGCCACGGAGGCAGTTAAATTGAATAGCATCAATCCTTCATGACATATGAAATAAACTATATAAGATCAAGCGCTTGTCACCTTTTC